GGAAATATCTCTTGTGATAATCCACAAACAGAAGCCAGCATTTGTAACAACTTATATCCTGAATGCCAGCATTTATAATAATTTACCCAAACAGGGTGATTTGCAGAACTTTAAGGCAAGTGTCATTCTACATTACAATGGTTTAAGATGCTTGTCAGAAGCAAACAGAAATAATCTTTAGAGGAATTCACTTTCAAATAAAGTCTAATGGAAGTCTCATTAAGTCATAATTAATATCAGCTCTCATTCCAACAGCAAAAAAGCAATATAAAACAAGGCATTAAAACCAAGAGCCAACAGCAATAACAGAGAGTAGAATCAGACCCCAAAGGACTTCATATATATAGGAATTAGAAAATGCTTAAAGGACAAAAGAGATTAAGTATATGGATAAAAAGCAAGCAAGTAAAAAAAGTCAAAACATATTTGAGAAAGAAGCCAAAAAAATCAGAAATATAAAATAATTGAAATGAAAATTTCAATAGATCAGCTTTAGTTTTAGATTAGGTATTATTGAAAAAAAATTATATACTGGGAATTGATTTAAATTTTACTTAAATTAGAATAAATAGAGGGGCAAGGAAATGCAAAATGTAAAAGAAACAAGTCATAGAGAATAGTATGAGAAAGTCTAGCATATATCTTATCAGAATTACAGGATGAGAATGAAGCAAAACCACAAGAGGAAATATATGAAAAACAATAATGCCTGAAAATTTCTCAGAATTGATAGAAAAGAGAAATATTTAAATTCAGGATAAATTTAAAGAAACCCACACATATCACAGTAAGAACGAAGAACAACAAAGGCAAGAGAAGATCTTAAAACTAGTCAGAGAGGAAAGACAGATTACTTTCAAAGGAAAGGCATTGATGCAGTAGAATTTTCAAAAGCAATAATGAAAATCAGGATTCAATGAAGTAACATAATACCTTCATAAAGAGAATCACTATCAATCTAAAGTTTTATATCTGGTGAAAGTACTTTTTAAGGTAGTTATATTTCCAACAGACTCTCATGCAATTAAATTTTAAAGGGATAGAGAAAATGATGCCAGATGAAAAAATATTAAGTATGTGAATAAATCTAAAGAAAAAAAGGACTAAAAATAATAATGTTTTGTGAAGTATATAAAATGATAGAAATTAATTAAAATTATCATTAAATAACTAAATAACAGCAATAACTGCTTCATCATGATTTGGAATGAAAGTAAATAAGAAGGGTAAAGATATCAATCAATGTTAGACTTTTATGCATTTGTGTTACTTGGGTAGCTACTAAGTGAACAGAAAAAATATAAAATTTCCAATATTAAAATGGAATGAGCAATTTCCAATATTATTATGGAATGAGCAAAATAAAAACAAACTTGAAGAAGGTAAGGAAAAAAAGAAACATATGTGAGCTAAATATGTAAACATACTTAAATGGAGAAATAAGCCCAAATATTTAGTACTGAAAGTTAATGTAAATAAAGTCAGTTTCATTTAAGAGTAGATTATCTAACCATATGCTATTTACAAGAGACATACACAAAACTTAAGGATATTTTAAGCAGAAAAGTTGAAAGTAAAAGGATGGAAAAATATAGATTGTGATTCTTAGCCCATAATTTCCTTAAAGAAAATACTGCGCTATAAATATACTTGTAATGCCAGAGATTTTGTGTCTTAAAGTGTCTACTGTATCACAAGTGCTGGATTACAGGCTTAGAACCACAAGCTACCCAAGTTTATAGTCTTTGATGTTTTACTGTATGTCTAGTTTATGACTTGAGGCTGTCAACACAGCTCCATAGCAATCAGAACTGTGGGTAGTATTTATAAGGCGATAATTTATTTTACTGATATATTTACAGTATTTCTCTGTCAAAACAAACTTATTTCATTTCATTGTTCAATTAGATAAATGGGAATTAATATGTAATTGCTTAAGAGAGCATAAAGTGTTAAGAGGGAAGCTTTAAAGGCTTCTTTTGCTGCAGTGAGAGTAAATATTCTTTTTTAATTCTCTTGTTAGAAATGATTTAGATGATCATTTTGACTTAATGCTATTTCACATTTAAATGGAGCTATTTCAATACAACACTCCACATAAATCCTGCTCACATATACAGGGAAAAATCCCAGTTTAATCTTTAACTGTGATGAAGAAGCTTGAGCATTTTTGCCAGAGGACTGTTTTTAGCCATTTAATAAATATAAGTTGATTAAATGATAAGCAGGATTTTGCATCAGAATGAAGGTGAAGAACAGTATGTAACCTTGGAATGGGATGGTGGGTATTCTTGAGGTGGAAAATACACCTAAACTAAATATGAGCTTGGAAATATTTCTATAGACAAAAAGCCATTTTTGACAAGGGCTTTCTTGAAAAAAATCTATCCCTAAGCCTTCTCACATCACTAATTCAAGAATATACCACTATAGAATATAGGGTCTACCACAAAATACTACTCAATCATTCACAGTGAGTTACAATTCATTTTGAGAGGCTGATGTTGAGTGGTTGGATAGGCTACTCACTGGCAAACTCTCACACCAGCTTGGAAGCTCATAACATACAAATTCATGTCTCAGCAAAATGATAAGATATGGACCTTATGGGCCAATAGAAAATGGCAGAATCTGTGAATGTAATTTCAGGAATTTCTGGTTTCTACTCAGATTTCTACTAATTTAGGTTGAAGAGTGTGGAAAGTGTTATGTAAGTAAGAATAACCCTGCATAAACTTTACTATAAAAAATGCTACTAATGCCGAAACCGGTTTGGCTTGGTGGTAGAGCGTCGGTCTGCGGACTGAAGGGTCCCTGGTTTAATTCCGGTCAAGGGCATGTACATTGGTTGTGGGCATATCCCCGGTAGGGGGTGTGCAAGAGGCAGCTGGTCAATGTTTCTCTCTCATCGGCATTTCTAGCTCTCTATCTCTCTCCCTTCCTCCTCTCTGTAAAATATCAATAAAATATATTTAAAAAAATGCTACTAATTTTACATCTGAAATTGTCGCAACAAATACTTAAAAATATATAACCCAGATGTATAAATAATCTTTACCAAAGGATTTTTTAAATTGGTTTTAGAGAGAAAGGGAAGGAGAGAGAGTGAGAGAGAAAGAGAGCAAGAGAGACAGGGAGAGTGAGAGAGAAAGAGAGCAAGAGAGACGGAGAGAGAGAGAGAGAGAGAGAGAGAGAGAGAGAGAGAGAGAGAGAGTGAGAGAGAGAAAGAGAGAGAGAAAGTATCTATGTGAGAAGAAACATCAATGTGATGTCTTCTGTATGTGCCCTGGTCTTTTGGTATACAGGATATACAGGATGGTACTCTAACTCCTTGGTCAGCAAACTGCAGCTCAAGAGCCACATGCGGCTCTTTGGCCCCTTGAGTGGGGCTCTTTCACAAAATACCAGAGCCTGGGCGAGTCTATTTTGAAGAAGTGGTGTTAGAAGAAGTTTAAGTTTAAAAAATTTGGCTCTCAAAAGAAATTTCAATCATTGTACTGTTGATGTTTGGCTTTTTGACTAATGAGTTTGCTGACCACTGCTCTAACCAACTGAGCCACTCAGCCAGGGTGAGTAGAATATATTGTATTTTTCCCTTGACGTATAGTATATATCACATATATTTAAGAATTTAACTTGAATTATTCATGAATAATCTAGCATTTAAGTAACTGGCCCAAATTCTTAATGTGCACATTAACTAGTAGGTCCAAATATTCACTGGCTATTGAGAACCATTAGATTGATACACATTTTCTTAAGAACATTATGTGAGAATTTTATAAAGGAGAAAGTTGGGATGTGGGCTCTGGATTGCTTGGTTTGTTTATCAAAGATGGACTCACTGGGGCATCATTCACCACCTCCAGGAATTAAATTGTCCTGTGAGGGAAAGTCTTTTCAAAATTAAGGTTCCAAAAATGCCAGAGCATTAGTATTACCCAAAATAATAAAAATATAGCCAATATAGCAGCCTTGTATTTGTTACCAGGCTAAATAAATCTATTTATCTGGATCTTTAAATAAATTAGTTCATATTGGCCTTATGCAGTAGGTCAGAATCCCATAGTGCTGCCTTTGGTAACAAGTTGACAAGTTTAATTTCCCAAAAGAAAAGTTCTTGCAAAAGTGAAAAGAAATCTAAGGGCTGACACAAGTGACAACTCATTAGTAATATTTAAAAAAGAGAAGGAACTAGTTCACATGTAAATGCGAGTGTTTTTCATAGTAATTAGGCACAAGAGTCCTTCTCACTTGGACAAATCCTAAAGATGCTTGCCTGAGAAGCAAGACAATAATGAGATAATTTTGGTTTTTGAATGAGGTTGCACTTACTTTCGGTGAAGTCATTTGAAAAAGCTGCCTTAAATATTTTAAAGAATTCTGTAATCTAAGGACATTTAAAGACACATCTCCCATATAGATAACTTAATGTGACAAAGACAGACAGACAGATAGTCAAACAAGCATAGTGGCATGGGACTAATAATAAGTAAGCAGTGAATCACCCAGCTTTTCCTTTGGAAGGGGGTCAGTAATATCCTTGCCCCTTACGTTCCTCATCCTCAATATGAAATGACTGGATCAGATGATCTCAACAGTTTTATCTATTAATCACACACACACACACACACACACACACACACACACAGCACCATCTTTGTTGTCTTCTTAAAATGATTAAATTGAAGTTGACTTTGAGTGGCAAATTCAGCTTACTCACTGTGAAGACCCTGTATTTTGTGGATGCAACTTATTTTTATGCTTAATACATGAATATTCAAAAGATTTATTAGGGGCTCAAAAATGTAGTTGGACAAGGTGATTCAATTCACCCGGTTATAACCTCATGCTTCATAAAAAAGTAGGTCCCCCATCAACGTTCCTTAAGCTGGATGCCACAAACTAGCACCTACCACAGGTCAAGGAAGGCTCCAAAGAAAACCTCTGTAGGCAACAACAAGCATTTCCTACAGGTTCTGTAAATAATGTCGTCCTACCTTAGACGACTCATCGCCTTCATCTTCATGGACTGAACTGGATGGGGAAGGAGTTGCAGACTTGCTTCCAGGTGGAGACGGTGAGTTGTGGGGGACAGTGCTTCCACCCATATTCAACCCAAGCTGAGCGCTCAGCTGGGACTGGTTGATGGTGGTCAGCTGGCCATGCTGCATCATTCCCGGCTGCTGCCGGATGTCTGCAGGCTGGCCCCTGGGCCTCATGGCTGCCATCTGAGGATGGGAGCCATACTGAGCTCCTTCTGGGTTCCGTATATCTTGCATCTACAAAAAAAAAAAAAAATAGATAGGAATAATTTTCTCAAACATGTTTTTGAATAAATTAAAAAAAATATTCTATTAAACTAAAAATTCTGTAAGATGTCCTGCTGAACTATACACATTCCCCTCCCCTCCCCCATCCCTCTAACAGTATGTATATCCTAAAGGTGCTGATATCATAGAATCTGAGAATTCAATCAACATCACAGTTCATTACCAAAGAGCCCATTAATTATATGTATAGTCATTATTTGCTAATAAAATGTAAACATCATTAAAATATTTATGGTATAAGTTTCAAAATATTGATGCTTATTAGAGTGTCGGCATTATATAATTATTAAGTGATTACAGCATTCACAGCAGTTCATGAAATCCTTTTTTTTAAATTGTGATTATTTAAGAAAGGTCTGGGAGTTAAGCATGCTGTTGTTCTCAGTTTAATTCTATATAGCTAGTGTTGGTTAAAATGATCTACTAACTTCAAGACTAAGAACGCTCAGAGGTTGGTATTAACCAATTGATTAACTGACCATTGAAATGATTTGACAACACAGTGAGATTTGAAAGTGATTCTCTAAAGTTGCAAGGTCACCATATTAATCCATTAAGCTATCTGGGTCACTGCTTTTTAGCCTTAATGAGACTCACTCTTGTAATTCAAGCAATGAATTTTGTCTCTGCAAGGCTTAGAATTAAAAGCATTGGAGGATGAAGCTTTTAACATATGAGATAAAATGTGTTGTATAAGAGGAGTATAGTGGATTTCATTGAACATTTCTCTGGCATTTTCAAACTTATGGGGAATAATGGGGAATATTTCATGGTGCTTATAGAAGCAGCTCAGATTTATCATTCTGAGGCACCTCGGAGATTTTATGCAGTTCTTGCTTTATACAATGAGAGAGAAAAAAAGAAAAACATGGGAAAAAGAAAAGCAATAAAGTGATGTGTTAAAGTTATATTTGGGAACTAACAAATAAAATGAACAATGTTATCTTTCACGGTTTCATTAAAAAAAAATTCCACATGGTGTCAGAATGTCTAGTAATTACGTGTCTGCAAATGTTATCATGACATGGAAATACTGTAAAGATACATTAAATAACTTAGTCACATATATATTTTTTTCCTTTTGGTAACAAAATAATTTTTTTTTACCAATGCTCTCCAGTCATTTTACCAACTCAGTTATTTCCATCTGAAACTGAAGTTGTGACAGAAGTGCCTGCCTGTGGTAGGTTTACCATCTTCACCATGAGGTCTCTTCTTAGTCAGTATCCCCCCTTCAGACCTTTCCAGCTCTTACTCTGCTTCATCTTCAGACTCAGTTCTAGATATTCTAGAATCTGGCTCTTGTTGGTGAAGGCTTAGGATGGCCCGTGGTTTTGCACCTGCTGATTTTCTGGTCCAAATCAACAACCCTCCTCCTGCCCCATAATTTAAACTATATTCCTCCAATCCTTCAAAAGTAGCTCATAGTTGTCTTTTTTTATGAAGTCCCTCATTAAGTAGTTATTACTAGTTAATGATACAATTAGAGTATCAGAGATCCTTAGTGACATTTTTTCATCTATAGAAGAGCATTATTAGGAAGAGGCCATAGCACTGGCTTGTTGAATGTTTATAGAGTTAAAAATATAGATAGATAGGTAAAAATGAATAAAGCCCAGATAAGTTAAATTACTTTCCTAAGCCACAGAGTTGGAGTTAAAATCAACATCTCTCAATTTCAGCCTTTGATATTTCCTACAGTATTAAGCAGCTGATTCAACATTTTATGTTTCCCACAGAAAGAGTTATAGTTAACAAAAAATAATAAAAAAACACCTTGTCAAATGTTACCTACCTAAGTTGGTTATTTTTTCTTTTTCTTTTTCTTTTATTTTAAAAAAATATATTTTATTAATTTTTTTACAGAGAGGAAGGGAGAGAGATAGAGAGCTAGAAACATCGATGAGAGAGAAACATCGATCAGCTGCCTCTTGCACACCCCCTACCAGGATGTGCCCTCAACCAAGGTACATGCCCTTGACCGGAATCGAACCCGGGACCTTTCAGTCTGCAGACCAATGCTCTACCACTGAGCCAAACTGGTTTCGGCCTAAGTTGGTTATTTTTATCTAGTCCATTCATGTTGCCTCCACTCACATTTACTAAAATAATTTTTCTTCCTTTTTAGCTGTCCCTAAATTCTATAATCTGACCTTACATATGAAATAATACTAGCTTCTAGAGATATTCTTAAAGTTGTACCACTGTCATAGGGTGCCATGAAAATCGGAACCGACTTTTGAAAACACACAGAAGAGGCAGTATATGCTATACTCTTTCAAGTCCTGAAGTTCTATTGCATTCTTTGTTAGACTCTATTTGGAACAACTCTCTCACTGTGAGCCCAGAGTAATGGACGCCCATCTGGGTATGGTCCCATACAGGGCAGCCCCTCTCTCAACCCAACCAAGCACTCACATGCATGTTCAAACGTACACGTTTGTAGGAGAATACATTTTCATAGTCTTGTAAATTAAAAAAGGTTACTAACAAAAACATTTTAAGGAATTTATCTTTCCAAAAGTATTTAACTAATTGACAGCACGATTTCTCCTTCACATAAATCTCAAGTCAAGAGCATGAACAGTTTGTAACTTATCTGTTTGGGGCTTGCTTCGTAATCTCACTCTTTCAGAAATACCATGGTTTTCAACATGAGGCCGCAGAGGATGATTTTTAAGTTAACTTAAAGTTTCCAGATTCATGACTACAACCAAAAGTCTAAAATGATCTCACTTTCTAGCACCTTTCTCTCTCATCAGTTTTGTGATCTTTTTTATTGTTTGCTCATGTAAATTAGTGTGGATGATAGATCACTGACTATTAAATTTGTGTTCCCACCTTTGTACTATTGGTGGAAGGGGGTAGTGCCTGGCAAAGAAGGAGTAAAGAATCATTTCGGACAGTGAAGTACTCAACAGGGAACCTCTTTTTCAACACACTCATCAGTAGTTGAAAATACCTTGTCACCAATGGTATTAGGCCAGGCAGACAGACAGCAGCTTTAATACCAAATCAAAGAACAATTTTTCTGTTTGGAGAATGGTGAGCACAAATTAGAAAGCATATTCCTCTCGTAGGTCTCAGATGCACTTAGAAATAGTCAGATTTTAACTTCCATGGTGACATTTGTGAATTAGAATATTTTTATTTTTTAAATTAAAAAAAAATTAATGGAGAGGAAGAGAGATAGGAACGTCCATGATGAGAAAGAATCATTGCTTGGCTGCCTCTTGCATGCCACTCTGGGGAAGGAACCTACAGGCCGGGCATATGCCCTGACCAGGAATTGAACCGTGACCTCCTGGCCTCTGAGCCATGCTGGCTGGGATGGAATATTTTTATTTTATCTTACTTTCCTAAGAGTTAGCTCAGTATCAATCACTGCCTAATAGATAATATGGGAAAACTATGGGTGGAATCTGATTACGTACTGACAGTTAGCTCATGAATGAAAGCAACTGTTTTGATTACTGGCTTCCTTCTAGAAAGATATTGATTTAACTGCAGGCCTTAATGTCAAATACACAACCTCAACTTGTAAAGTATTATTTCCTATTAACCTCCAATATTTTTAATTTATTGTGAATAATTCACTTAAGTCATGCTTATGACAACTGTTGCTGTCTCTTATTCTTCATGACTCCTCTATTGACTTCTTCCTACAACAACCCACCACCCCTAAATGATTCCCTAACATTCTGTTATTGATTCACATTTGTCCTACCCAGCTGAGATTCATCATGATTTTGTTAACGGGGAATGTTTTACACTGAAATGTATAGATAGCTCTGACCAAAACTCCAGGTCTCACTCTGCACTTGCCTGTTAGACATCACTACTTGGACATCACCTCTGCTAGAAACATGAACTACTTTGTCTTTCTCAAACCTATTTTGTACAATGTGTCCAATTTCTGTGGATGACTCCTTTCTTAGCCATGTCACCTCTATGCAAATGTCCCAGCAATGTTTGATTCTTTCCTTTCCTTGCAAACTTTTGTGAGCTCCACTGAGTCTACTCTAAACTATCCCTCCCATCTGCCCTTTCATTCCCACATCCATTCATGCATTCCAGGCCTTTATTATCTCTTCACTTGCAATAGCACTTAACTAAAAAGCATCTCTTCACATCCACCCTGAAGGATGCTGCAACAATTAATCTTCCTGAACTATAGACTCAAAAACCTCCCAATGATATCTGCCTACCAAATTAAGCCTAATCTCTCTGGCATGCCATTGAAGATTCCAAATACACCTCATTGCCTATACCTGTTCTTCACATGCTGTATTGTTCAGACAAACCCAATTAATTGCTATTCTGTGCCTATGTTTCTCCCCCTTGCACATGTGTCTTTGTCTATGCTGTTCTTTTAGCATTCCTTTTCTGAGCATCTGCTGTCTGAAGTTTTACAAAGCAGTTTAAAAAATCTCACTTTGCTCAGTGATTTGTGGCTTGCACAGTATTTTCACTTATTGAGCTTTATAATTCCCCTTTGAGGCAGCCCTGTAGGAATGACTGTTTTGCACAAGTTTATTGAGGATGGGAGAGGTTAAATGTTCTCAGATCTTTCTACCAACAGAGATTAAAGCAGAAATGAAATAGGATCATTTTATTTTACATATGTGTTTTCCTTTTTTACAATACTTTTATATCCAAACCCTGAGTATATTTTAACGTCAAGTTCAAAAATCAGCTCATCTCCAAAGCTTTAAGAACCTTTCTACTCTGAACTGCAAGCATTTCTTTATGGGAAACCACTTTTAAATTTCTTAGTCTAATGTGTATGTACTTTCTAGAGAGTAATCTTGATCAGTACACAACTAACTAAATTAGATATTTCAAGTATTCAAAATTATTTGCAGAATCATTATATAAATGAAGAAATAAATGCTACCAGTATGAACTTAGTATAACCAGTTTGATGATTTTTCTTTTTTTTCTGTGAC